TTTAGTCCTGCTTTAGTCCTGCTTTAGTCCTGCTTTAGTCCTGCTTTTAGACCTGGTTTAGTCCTGCTTTAGTCCTGCTTTAGTGCTGCTTTAGTCCTGCTTTTAGACCTGGTTTAGTCCTGCTTTAGTCCTGCTTCAGCCCAAAATGTGAAAATGGAAAATACCGCCCTGTAATCCATTTATTTCAACAAAGTAACTGTAATCCAATTACCACTCACTGAAACAGTAAGGGTAACTGAATACAGTTACTCATAATTTGTATTCTGATTACTTAACTCTGGTACATGTAATCTGTTACTCCCTGACACTGCTGATGTTGCTTTATGTTTTTGTGTTTTGTTTTTATTGTGTTTTATTAAATGTTATATTCTGTGGTCTTTAAAAAAACAAACAAAAAGCAACTGATACCATTTTGGGCTGTTTTGGAGCAGTTTTAGGCTCCCTGGGTGACTGGGCGATCCCAATTTGACCTATAAAAGAATCGTTAATACTAACTTTTTGCAGCACGCATGGAGCACAAACGATAGACAGAGTTTTTGTGTAGGTTTGCATTTCAGTGGTCCAAGTTGGTTCCAAAGTTGTCCATGTGCGTGTACTAGTCTATGTGCTCTGATATTTTGTTCTGATTCAGCTCAAAATCATTCTAAATCTATTCAGGAAAGCTTCATTTCTGTGCTGAAACTGTGACGTTTTTGGCTCAAATGAGGATCTAGTTTTGACACTAGTTTTGGTTTGGGTTAACATCTGATTTTCAAACCTTTTGACATAAACCTGTTACAAATCTGCTGTTTTTCTCCGTAGTCAGTAGAAATGAAAATATGGCTTTTATAAGTGAGCGTTTTTCCAGTAAAACAATGAGCGTGTGTTGAAAATATGACCATGTGCACTACGAGAGATTACAGAAGGATGACATCGTTCTTCTTATGGGTCTTACATAAAGTCAGTGAACTGCAGCTGTGTCTCTGGTCCGGTTGGCAGCCGAACTACGATGGTTTTATGAGCCCATCGAGCGCCCTTCAGATGAGCGGGGACCCGTTCACACACACGATGGGAAACACAGAAGGACCCCCGGGACCGCACGGCTCCCCGGGTTCAGACGGTTTTGAAGGCCCAGCTGCTCTTTCGGAATCGGAGATGTAAAGTGGACACGGCGCAGACAGATTCCAGGGAGACGAGTTCTTTTTATGCATTTTTTCTGGAATTGAGATTAAACTGGAACAAATGGTTTGACGGAATTTCTGGGATTTCACGTGAAATTCGGATTTAATACTAAAAAACAATGTGACTGACCTAGGATTGTCCACAGAGGAACCAAGATAAAACTAGATCAGAGGACTAAACCCAAATAAACCTAGATCCAAGCCAGGTTTATACTAGAACTGGATAAACAAGGACTAAACCAGGACCAAGACCAAGATGAAACCAGCTTTAAATAAAGAGTAAACCCAGATAAAACTAGATCTAAACTATGTCTCTACCAGAATTAGATAAACCAGGACTAAACCCAGATAAATCTAGATCTAAACCATGTCTATACCAGAACAGATCAAAACCAGATCTAATCCAGGATAAAACCTGCTTTAAACCAGGACTAAACCCAGATAAAACTAGTTCTAAACCAGGTTTATCCCAGAACAAGTCAAAACCAGGACCAAATCAGAAGAAATCCAGCTTTAAATCAGGACTAAACCCAGATAAAGCTAGATCTAAACCAGGTCTATACCAGAACTAGATATACCAGGACTAAACCAGGATGAAACCAAGACAAAACCAGGACTAAACTCAGATAAAACTAGATCTACACCAGGTCTATACCAGAACCAGATAAACCAGGACTAAACCAGGACCAAACCAACATAAAACCATCTTTAAACCAGGGCTAAACCCAGAAAAAAATAGTTCTAAATCAGGTCTATACCAGAACAGGTCTAAACCAGAACTAAACCAGGATAAATCCAGTTTTAAATCAGGACTAAACCCAGATAAAGCTAGATCTAAACCAGGTCTGTATCAGAACTAAATAAACCAGGACTAAACTAGGATTAAACCAGGATAAAACCAAGACAAAACCAGGACTAAACCCATATAAAACTAGTTCTAAACCAGGTCTATACCAGAACAGGTCTAAACCAGGTGTAAACCAGGACCAAACCAGGATAAAACCATCTTTAAATCAGGACTAAACCCATGTAAAACTAGATCTAAACCAGGTCTATACCAGAACTAGATATACCAGGACTAAACCAGGATGAAACCAAGACAAAACCAGGACTAAACCCAGAAAACTAAAACTACAACTAGATTTAAACCAGGTCTATGCCAGATCAGGTCTAAATCAGGGCTACACCAGGTCAAACAATTAAAACTAAACCTGTCCTAAATTGTTACAGGATATAAAAAAGGGTCTTAAATAAAACCAAAGTCAAAATCTGGTCAAAACTGCCACACAAACCGGTGCTAAATGAGGTGTGAATGAGAACTGAACCAGGTCTGAACAGAGACTAAACCATGACTAAAATATAATCATGAAATTGACGGACTCAGACGGCCCTTGACCCGTGAGTACCACCGGAAAGACGCTTGGGTAACCTGGCCCAAATAAACACATTCCTCACAATTACAAGCATGTACAGTGTGACAGGACTAACTCCTTACAGAACTTATCAAAACATAAAACAAAGATTCAACCTAAAAAAATGTAGTCGCTGTGTAAACTTGTACTTTCGATGATGTTGGTGTGTTTCTTAGAACTGAACCGTGCATTGTTACTAATTGATAACTTGTCTCACCCCGGGCTGATCTGTCGGTCCCTTTGAAAAGAGTTCTACACATTATCAATTTGGAACGGCTCTCGCTGAAAGAGATCGGAAAATACGGAACGTCGCGGAGACTATTTGAATTGGATTCTTTGATTCTGATTTCGCCTCTTTGCCTGTTTGTGCCTCCGTCTCCTCGCTTTTGTGACCCCCTGCCCTCGCATGTTGTCTCATTCACTACTGATTATTAGCCACGCTGGCGCCACCTAGTGTCTCCGCTCAATTTCATTTCTCTCCAGCAACTAGGTCAGAATTGGAATACACTAGATAGTTCACAAAAACCCCGGAAGTACGAGTTCAGGCACCAGCCAATCAGTGAAGAGCCATACATTCTGCATTGCAAACGATTCCCAAGATGGAGGATTTAAAGCCGTAACAAAGACAAAGTTTGGTGAATTTTATCAATTGCCCTTCTTCCTGTGGGATTTGGGAAAAGCTTTATATTCCAGTTAGCCCTGTTAGTGGCACATTACATACGTCACGACCAAATAGCAGCGATTGGTTAAATGAAAAAAAGTACCCACCTACCGTCGAGCGAACGAATTCTAACGCTGCAAGGTCAGACAGTTTCTACGAAGTGAAACCGATAAATCGGACTAACTCGCTACTGCCGCGAATACCCAAAGTTGGTGTCAATGTCAATCAAAAGCTTCTACCACCTCGAACCTTTTCATCAGCAGCACAACCTCTGTCACCGAGAGAACACTCATATTCTACTGAGTCGTGCCTTTGAGTCCAACAGAAGCTGAACCACATCAGCAACACAATGAGCGAGCTTATAGTTTATGCTAATTAGCCATGTGGTTTTAAGTTTCGTTTCTGTAAAATGTAAACAGTTTAGTAATGTAAACATTTATTTATGCAGAAGATTTTTACTTAATAATCTGCTGCAGTGTAGAACTTGTACAATAGTATTTGGAAACATTCAGTTTGATCTGCGCACTGGATTGTGGGATATCTCAGAGCTCCTTACCGCTGTAAGGAAGATGGATCTATTAGGCAAGGCAAGGCAGGCAAGTTTATTTGTATAGCACAATTCGTACACAAAGTAATTCAAAGTGCTTTACAGAATAAGAAATACATTAAAATCATAATAAAAACAAATCAAAACATAAATAATCATGAAGATTAAAATTAAAAAAGAGAGACATAAATTGGAGAGAAGAGTGCGGATTGAAAACCTTTCAGTTATATGCACAGTTAAACAGAAATGTTTTGAGCCTGGATTTAAACAGCGTCACAGAAGAGTCTGTCTCACATGTTCAGACTGTTCCAGGTTTTAGCTGCATGAACCTGAATCTCTGACTCCCCTTGTTTAGTCGTGACTCTGGGCACCAGCAGGAGGCCGGTCCCTGAGCTCCTCAGAGTGTGAGATGGTTCATATGACACTAACATGTCACAGATGGACTTTGGTGCTCGGCCATGGAGAGACTTGTACAAGCAGAGCTGTTTTAAAGTCTATTCTCTGAGGCACAGGAAGCCAGTGCAGAGACCTGAGCACAGGACTTATGTGCTCGTACTTCCTAGTTCGAGTAAGGACCCGAGCTGCAGCGTTCTGGATGTTCTGCAGCGTCTCACAGCTCGTTTATTACAATAAGGAACCTCCTGAGCTTCCTCTGCTAAAGGAACTCATGGTTACGACTATCATATAGTTAATGCAAAGATGAGCTTGAGTTGAGTTGTTTTATTTTGGAATGAAAACAAGGCAATATGTATTATCTCTTCCTTTGTTTTACAGTTATATTTTTTGCTCCACATCACCCTACCTTTGTCCTCCATATTGACAATAAAATACGCTAAAGATGTTTTGGTTTGTTTGGGCACTTGGCCTTTGGCTTCCCCACAAACCTCAATGCTGCGATGTGATTGGTTCACCCACCATGCGTCCCAATTGACTTTACACAGAAAAAATGTCGCCCCTCTCTCTGTAATTCAGTCAGGCTTCTCATTTTGGCCTTCAAATTTTTGTATTAACTTGCTCTACATGATCCTGGTGTTTTTATTTTGCTATTTTGTCTGTAAATCAATTCCTATTTCTGATTTTAATCACTAGCCTCGTGAGCTTCATTTGCCTGGAGCCGAACGCTACGGGCGACGTCACACTCCCTTAGTCCACTTCTTTATAAGTCTGTGGTTGCATCCTTAGTTCCTATACTGATTTCCCTGTGTATTGTCCCTCTGCAGCTCTCGTGAAGTACCACCTCCTGAACTCGGTGCAGTGCTCGGAGGCCATCATGTCCGGCACGTCCTACGAGACCATGGAGGGCACCAACATCGCCATCGGCTGCGACGGAGAGAGTCTCACCGTCAACGGAGTCAAGATGGTGCTGAAGAAGGACATCGTCACCAGCAACGGAGTCATCCACCTCATCGACAAAGTGCTCGTGCCCGACTCAGGTTAGAACTCGCACGGCTACGCGATGAAACTCAGGTCATACAGCAGATGTGCAAATAAAAGCTGATCTAGTGATTGATTTTACCGTCTTAAGAAAACACGACCAGTTCATTTTGCAACAGTTTGCAAAGGTCTAAAGTTATTTCTCACTTGCCTCATGCATTCAGAGCATCCATTTTTTTTAAATGACACTTATTGCATATGCACTCTACAGGTCAAAAGTTTTAGAACACCACACTTTCTCATTCACATTTTACTCTTGACCAAAACATATTCTAAACTTTTGATTCTTGAAAGTGTCCACCTCTGGCAGATGTAACAGCTGAACACACTCGTGGCTCGTTCTTTTTACAACAGAAATCAAATATTCTTCAGAAAGTTCTTCCCAAATCTGTTGCAGAAGTTCCCATAAATGTGTGGCACTTGTAGGTTTCTTGACTTTTACTTTTCTGTCCAGTTCATCCCAAAACCAGCTCGATGGGGTTTAAGTCTGGAGACTGTGCTGCTGAACTCTCCATGTTTTCAAGCTTTATCATCTTGTTCTTTTTTTCTTGAGGTAGTTTTGGCAGAGCTTGGACTTGTGTTTTGTATCTTTTATCTTTTTTTTTTTAACCTCTGTCTGTTCATTTCTTACCTTTGCACCATTTCAAGCTCTTCATTGGACTTTCACGACTTGAATTGCAAAAAATAACTTAAAAAATGAGGGTGTTCTAAAACTTTTGACCAGTAGTGTACGTACAAATTAATATAAACATACAAGAAAGAGACAAATAATGCTACTATATACAGGCATTACATGAAATAGGGATAATTAAATGATTCAGATCGATCATTTAAGTTCTTTATAAATTGATAACATGTAATTATCTTGTTTATTTGGAAGGTTTTCTAATGATTTTAAATATTATATTAGATTGCGTTTGAATAGAAAGACATTGGGATTGGGATTATTCCACTTACAACAATGAATAAAATGAGAAAAACTTAAAATACATATACTTTTTTTTTATCACTTATAAGCTTTACAAGTGCTCTCACAGTAAAGCTACCAACAACTAGCAAGCTAACGAGCACTTCTCAGCAACAATAAAATGCTTTTTAATTTGAAGCAGACTTATTTTGACCTCAAGAGCTGCTTATACAATTGAGAAGTATCTGTACGGGGGCAAGACTCATTTTGCTCAAATATATGAAAAAAAATAGGATACAAAACCTTTAAGTTCTAATATATTAAACAATAAGTTGATATATGACTTATTGTGGCAGCCTTTGTAGTTTTGGTTTGTTCTTTTAATATACTGTACTAAACTTATGACCTAACTTTGGTCTTTGTGTGATGTAAGAGCTTCTTAGCAGGACAGTGATGCTAGATTAGATGAAGAAGATGCAGTACCGGTCAAAAGTTTTACAACACCCTAATTTTTCCAGTTATTTATTGCAATTGAAGTCGTGCAAGTCCAATGAAGAGCTTGAAATGGTACAAAGGTAAGAACAGAAGAGCCAAAGGTTTAAAAAAAAAGATAAAAGATACAAAACACAAGTCCAAGCTCTGCCAAAACTATCACAACATGGAGTGTTCAGCACAGTCTCCAGACTTAAACCCCACTGAGCTGGTTTGGGATGAACTGGACAGAAGAGTAAAAGTCAAGAAACCTACAAGTGCCACACGTTTATGGGAACTTCTGCAACAGACTTGGGAAGAACTTTCTGAAGAATATTTGATTTCTATTGTAAAAAGAACGAGCCACGAGTGTGTTCAGCTGTTACATCTGCTAAAGGTGGACATGTTCATGAATCAAAAGGTTAGAATACCTTTTGGTCAACAGTAAAGAGTAAAAAAATGGAAAAAAGTGTGGTGTTCTAAAACTTTTGACCGATAGTGTACCTTTACAATTGTGTGACAAAACTCAATGAACTATTATTATTGTTATATATATTTTAATACTCTCCATTCGAAGTACTAAATGTGTGTATATGTGTGTACTTTTTCAGCCAAGCAGGTTATGGAGCTGGTGGGTTCGTCTCAGTCCACGTTCGGGGACATGGTGTCGGAGCTGGGCCTGGCTGCAGAAATGAAAGCAGGGACCGAGTACACTCTGCTGGCCCCCTCCAACGCAGCTTTCACTGGTCAGTACTATGCCCGCCTGTACTATAATACTACTACACACAAGGATTTAGATATTTTCAGGTCATATCCCACGTTTTTCTTGCTGATTTGGTCCATAACCGATGTTTTCAGATCAATATTATGAAGTCTTCTCAGTCCTCACAAATCCATGTATCATTCGTTCATTTGTTTTTCAATATAAAACCAAAACTAAGAAAACAAAAAAACAACAGTTTTCTTTGTTATTTGAATTTATTATTTATTATTTTTTATTATTTATAATTTTTATTTTTAAACGAAGAATGGAAAAAACGGATAATGGCCGTTTCCCGTTTATGTGACTTCCGTGACTGCGATGCCGGACTTTTGCGCTGCATACGGACTGAACCAGGACTGATCCAGGTCCGATCCAGGTCCGGGACTGAGACTGGGACTGAGACAGAGACCAGACCGGGACTGAGACTGGAACCAGATTGGAACTGAGACCTGGACCAGACTGGAACTGAGAGCTGGACCAGACAGGGACCAGAGCGGGACTGAGACCGAGATCAGACCGGGACCAGACCGGGATTGAGACCGGGACCAGACCGGGACTGAGACCGAGACCAGGCCTGGACCAGACCGGAGGCTCAGAGCCAACGGCCGGAGATCGAAGCTGAGGCTCAGACCCTGCGGAGGCTTGGAGTCAAAGCTTGGAGTCCGCTCTGGTCCCGGTCTGGTCTCGGTCTCGGACCTGGATCAGTTCTGATTCGGTCCATATGCGGCGCAATAGTCCGGCAGGAAATGGCCGTTATCCGTTTTTTACATTCTTCATTTAAACACAAAATCGAAAACTGAAAAAAACAAATCGTTATGTGTTTTTTCATTTTGGTTTTGGAGACAAATAATGAAGAAAACAGTTGTTGTTTTTCATTTTCTTATTTTTGGTTTTATATTGAAAAATGAATGAACGAATGATACACGGATTCTCACAGTCTGTAGTAAAGATATACTGAAGTTCTCAAAATTTTCATTATTATTTTTCACTTTTGTAAAAAAAATAAATAAAGATGGATTGGGTCTCAGTTCCACGACATCAGTTCAGCCGATATCCTGGTCGGCCTTTAATTTCCATGTCATGTCATAAGACTATTTACAGGCCGATTTAGTCCTAGAAAATCTCATCGTGTTTGAAGTTTTATTCATACAAAGCTGTTCAAGAGTGGTTTGAAAGATAAATAACCATTACATAACAGAGCTGGATTTGTTGTGTAATAAATTAACGATGTTTTAAGGAAATAAGGCCCGTTTTCCATCCCCGCTCTGGTATTGGTTAATATGAGGTATTGGCAGGTACTTGAAGTAGCAGTAAGCAATAAAGATAACAGTATTAAAAGCTGAAAACGCTGGATAGGTGCATCTCTACTATGCTTTTTCCATTTGAACTCAATGATCTGTTCTAGAGACCGGTTATCTGATTTGACATAGACTTTTTAGTTTTCATTTTACAAGACAATAGTGAATGAAAAATAAGGTACAAGGCTCGTCTATTCTATTTTAACTCACTAGTCTGGTGGAAAAGAAACATTTGATGCACTGAGGACAAACTGGACATGACACGTAGACACTGAGCGTCTTCAAATAAACGGACACTATAGAGATCAGAGCCAGTCTCCATGTCCATGTTCCGGATGACTCCTGGGCGCCTCTCTCGGGAAGTGTTCTGAGCATGTCCCACTGGAAGGAGGCACCAGGGGAAGACCCAGGACACACTGGAGGGACTATGTCTCTGGGCTGGCCTGGGAACGTCTTGGGGTCCCCCCAAGGATCATGTAGAGCGGGTTAATATGAACATTTTAAGACCAAAACGACGAGGATCACAGCAGCAGTTACAGTGAGAGGGGCGACAATATTCCAGTGTAAGTCAATAGGAGCCAGGGTCAGAAGGAGCCAGAAGAGTGTCCATTTATCAGGGGTGTAATGGTACGCAAAAATCACAGTTTGGTATGTACCTCGGTTTTGAGGTCACAGTTCAGTTCTTTTTCGACACAGTATGAGAACAAAATGCAAAACCATTTGCTTGTTGTTTTTTAAACCAAAAATTTGTTTTAAAATTATACAAACAGGAAAATAAGATAAATGCAAAGTGCTGTTTAGAAATACTAATAAGTTAACTAAAATATTCTCAAGTAAGCAACAAATGTAAACAGTAAACAAAACTTTTCAAAAAGTAAAGCACAGCACTAACAGTTCCAGCATAAAGTTTTACTAAATTTTCATATTTTTTGGCCAGGTTTGGAGGGACGTAGTCAAGGCTTGGGGCAATTGTTGTCAAGGCAGCCGCTCTAACTAAAAAGTGCTGCAGGAAACACTGCCACCCTAATCACGTACGAGTTTCCTCGTGAATATTAAAGAGCCGAGCCTTCTGTGTAGCTGCACATGTAGTGGTGGAATGTAAACACACACAAAATGCGCAAACTCACTCGTGCACAGCTGCGCACCGAACCGAAAGTCCCGTACTGAAATGGTTCGACACGAATACATGTACCCTTACACCCCTATCATTTATAAATACAGTCGATGGTATTAACCCATTCTACATGATCCTGGTGTTTTAATTTCACCATTTTGTCCTTAAATAAATTCCTTTTCCCAATATGGAACTCAACTCCAAATTCATGCCTATAACCGCCAGCCTCAGTCAGCTTCATTCTACTGGAACACTATGGCTGATGTCACTCTCCTTTAGTCCACTTCTTTATACAGTCTATGTGAAATGCCAGCTGCATATGAGTCGACTACTGACTCACACATGACTCCGCACAGCTGTAGTCTGAAGTGAAAGTCTTTCCCATGTAAGAGCAGTCCTGTCTCCTCTCGGCATTCCAGAGCACAGAGGGAGCGCAGTCTTTGTCCCTGAGTAATCCCAGACAGACTTCTTTCATCAACAAATCAAATGCCACTTAATACACTACCGGTATATAAAACACTACAGGAGCTACAACGCCGGGCAACTTGGATGACTTACTGTATGGTTTTACGTAATGCAATTCCAATGCGGGAGTAATAATGCTATTTTTAACACTTCACTTTCACTAGTCGTGGAATGTAACACAGTAGTAATGAAGTACTGTATCGGAGTGAAAATTTTAGATATCAATATTTTCCTTAAAGGTGCACTGTGCAACTTTCCAGGTGCAGAGTCTGTCATCTGATTTTTTTTTTCCATGGAGATTGTATTGATTTGTCCGAAATGTTCCACAATAGCATTAAAATGATCTATCTTGCATTTATTCAATTACAGGTATTTTTATTGTATTTATTAAAGAAAAAACAAACACATGAGCAGGGTTGCCTCTCTGCAGATCTGACGTGTAACTTGACTTGGTGGTGCCACTTTTTGCCTCCATAGAGATAGATATGTTTAATGCTATACTGTGGAGCATTCTGGACTGAGCAGCAACATCTCCGTGGAGACGAAAAGTTACACAGTGCATCTCTAATTTGATTTTAGGTAACACTTTATAATAACTACACCTTATTTAGCCTTAATAAAGCATGAACAAAGACTTGATTAACAATGAACAAAGACTTAATTAAAAATGATTCACGCTTAGTAAATGCTTAATAAAGCATAATTCATCTTCACTTTAGAAAAGCTCTCAAAAAGACTTAACTAACAGATAACAGCTGCCTGAATTATCATTTCATTACATTATTAGTAAATCATTGTCTCATAGTTTACTAAGGATTAATAAATGCTCAAATGGTTAGTCCATGAGTAATTAAGTATGAAATAATTATGAGTAACTATTTACAGCACAGGCAAATTAAAAGCAACTGCTATTAAGGTAGTAATTAAGTAGTTACTAAGTGTGCGTCATTATTAATTAAGTCTTTGTTCATTATTAATTACGCCTTTGTTCATGCTTTATTAAGGCTAAATAAGGTATAGTTATTATAAAGTGTTACCAGATTTGAAAGTGGATATTATTTACTTTTACTTGACTACATTTGAGAGTTGGTATTTGCACTTCATACTAATCTACATTTTTGAACCGGACTCAAAAGTTAAGTTGTTTTTTTTTATATAGTTTGAGACCTGCTGAAAAGGATCTACTGTATTTATTTTTAACATGTTCATAACTTGAGCAAACAAAATTATACAACCAAAAAAACTAAAATATTGCTAGAATAAAAAAGATTCATTAAATTGTTTCTACTGAACAAAATTCAAATTTAATATCTAGTTTCGATACTACTTTTGACTGACTGATTGGAAGCCTACATGATTTTCGATACCCCACTCTTGATTATTCATAATTTGTGATTTTTGAGGGCTGATGCTAATGACTGTAGGAAAAAATACAGGGGACTAGTCAAGTTACTAAGTGGAGTGGTGCGAGCATTATCATCGAACGTCACGTCTATTAAGAAAAAAACAAAAATGTGGCTGTTTGCTGCAGGTGTTCCAATCAGTGGGAGCAGGTAAAGGGTGCTCTTGGAAAAAGGATAAAAACTAAAACAAAACAGACTCCAGACACTCCAAAGAACTAAAAATCGCATGAGGAAAAATGTAGTTAAAAGGCCTTTATTTAATTGTCTAAATCCAACATGTTTCGACCAAACTGGTCTTCATCAGGGTTAGTAGTATTTTAAATAAGGGCCTGGTCAAGCAGAAGTTTACAGCAAGGTAAAAAATTCAAGTTAATGCATCTGATATAAAAATGTATTCAACAGATACATATGTACTCTAGTTTATGAAACTGTTTACCTTTTTTCTGTACCATTTTTGGTTCTAAAGTTACATACGTTTTAAACAGACCATGTATGAAACATGGAACAAAAATTATTTCCCAAATTTCAAAGACCTGAAAATCATGTAAATAAATGGATGTATTTCATCATATCTTGTGTTATTCGATCTTTGAACTGTTGATGAAGGTACATGATTTTTTAAAAAAAAAAATTATTTAAAATGATAAAAATTAGCTTGGACATATTTTATAGAAATAGTTTCCTTTCATTTTGAAGTAATATTAAAGTATTCGGAAGAAAAAAGCTGACAAATTATGTAAAATCATGCACCTTCTACTTGTTTGCACAATTTTCCCTCCGTTACCATGACCTTTCTTAATAAAAAATCTCATTACTCAAAAAGTAAGAGGTTTTTCAACCTAATCTTGTACCATATGGTAGAAAACTATATGAAGCAAATATTCAAACCAGTTTGTTAAGGATATGTAAGTGAGAACCAAGAGTTATCACTGTTTGTATTTATTGCCCAAAAAGTGCTGCATATTTCATTCCCTCCGTTACCGACATGAGTTTTTAAAATTTTTTGTCAACAACTTGAAAGAATATCACAGGTTTAACTTTACCCTGTTGGAGTGTAACTCTTTCACACATTCTGATACTTTACTTATTTCAGTAGTTCCTCTAGTTTCTGAATAAGATCTATTTGAAACCAGACCCATAAAGGCCTTTTAACTAGATTTTTACTTCTTTGGAGTGCCTGGAGTCCGTTGTGTTTTTGTCACATCTATTAATGACATGTCTGTGGTGTTACCTGCTTGTCGCCATGTAGAGAGATACATGTATTGCAATGAACATTCCAGAAAAGGTCCTATTTTACACAAAACTAACTCTCGTGAGCTTTAAGCCATGTTATAATCTTATTACCTCTTCAGAAACAAACCTGGAGTTATGTTTTATTTCATTCACACATGTTTGAGTAACTTTATTATTAGTCTGTCTACTTCGCCAAAGCTCAAAATGCTCCCGTTCCACATTGTAATATCATGAAGCGGTGGATAGTTTTCAAGTGAACAGCTCCTTTAGTTCAGGAGAGATTGGCAATTCCAGGACTGACATCACAATGTGGAGATGTGGAGTCGAGTGTTTTCTGTTTGAGAGAAGAACAGAGGATAAGTATACAGGGTTTGTGTGTTAAACATGTGTGAATGAAACAAAACACAACTCCAGGTCTGTCTGTAATGAGGAAACAACATTATAACACGGCTTATAGCTCAAAAGAGTCAACAACACAGATCAGAAATAGCGCGGTATGGGCTCTTTAACTTCTCCTATGACATGATTTGTAGCGTACAGCTGTACTTGGAAGTGAACGGTAAATCACTCATCTACAGATAAGTGTTACGTTTCTGGCTGGAATGAGCAATGGAAATATATAAGGTCATTTGTTATTGTCTGTTGGCTGAGATAAATGGGGTTTGAACGATTTTACAAGCAGATGTCAGTAGGTAAAGATAGACTTTTAACCCTTAAAGGTCCAATATTATCACACAAAACTGACTCTTGTGAGGTTTAAAGCAGGTTAGAACATTGTTAACCCCTCGAAAACATACCTGGAGTTGTATTTGTTGTATTTTTGAGTATCCCATTATTATTAGTCAGGCTACATCTGAGAAACTCAAAATGCTCTGTTCCACCTTGTGATATCATGAACTGGTAGCTTTCAAGGTAACAGCTACGTTTGACCTTTTGTTCAGTAGAAATTGGCCTGATTCATCAGTCTGACCTCGCAGCATTAAGATTTGTTTGCTCGATGGTAGGCGAGTACTTTTTTTATTTAACCAATCGCTGCTATTTGATCGTGACATAATGCACCAAATCCCGTAGGAAGAAGGGCAATAACGTCTTTCCCCTTGATAAAATTTACCAAACATTCTCTTTGTCCCGGCCTTAAATCTGCGATCCCGAGAATCGTTGTCAACACAGAATATATGTCTTCGTCTACATCCATCTCGACGCTTTGTTTACTGTTGTGACCCAGACAGGTGCTTGAGTTTGACGTCATGGCTTCACAGCTCTTCTTTGATTGTCCAGTGCGCGGTCTACAACTTCCAGGGTTCTTGCAAATCGTCTATTGCAGACATGTCATACTCAGGCCCGGGGACCAAATTTGGCCCATGAGATAATTATATTTGGCCCGTGAGGTCATATCAAATATGTATTAGAGCTGGCCCGTCGGCTACAGATAGACTATACAGACATTATTTATTTAAAATGTATTATTTTATATTATGCTTGTTCTGGATTCAATGTTTAAGCAAAACATTTATGAAACATTTATTTTAATAAGATAAAATTGAACATCTCGAAAGAAGAGAAAACATGCAAATTTTTCAATAAATATTTAGTTTGGGCCACGACTTGGTCCCAATTTTTTAATTTTGGCCTCTGTGAATTTGAGTTTGACACCCTGGTCTAGTGTATTCTGATTTCTGACCTAGTCACTGGAGAGAAATGAAACTGAGTGGGGGCATTAGGTGGCACCAACCTGGCTAGGCAGTTTCAGGGCTGAGTTTAAAAACACAGTGGAGCACTTACTATGTGGGATCACAAGGTGGAACAGAGTGTTTTCAGTTTGAGAGATGAACTCAACCTAAATACGCAGGATTTGTGTGTTAAACATGTGGGAATTCCAAACTTTGTGCCAGTTTTTGTATCTATTTCCAGTTTATTTTCACACAATTTCTTGTAACTTCACTTGAGTAATATTTTGTCTGGCGTAGGGATAGTTACTACTTCAGTATCTTTAAATCATCAAAGTCTGGTTACCCTCTTAATATTATTCTTTCCCCCTTAGAAGTCTATGGGAAAAGTAAATCAAAACTAGCGCCAGTCCACCCACTCATGGTCTTCGTAGCAACATGGTGGTGAAAGTGTTTGGAGTAGCAAATAGTTACTACTTATAAAATCATGTCATGGTAATTGCTGGTTAACCTCTTAATGATGTTGTTCCCCGTTAGAAGTCTATGGGAAAAATAAATGGAAATCAGAACCAGCGCCAGTCCAACCCACTCTCGGTCTTTGTAACAACATCCATCAATCAATCTGTCAAACTTTAGTTATAGAGCCATTTATAACACTCAAGGTGACCAAGGTGCTTTCCAGTCAAACCAACACAATATAAAACATTCAAAAGATAAGTGTCACTGCATTACTGAGTGTTAAAAGTCTGAATAGATCAGTTTTGAGCCTGGGTTTACACAGCGGGCAGTTTGTTCCAGAGTCTGGGCCGGCGGCAGAGAAAACCCGATCACCCCAGTGTTTGAGTCCAGTTCTGGGGACGTCCAGCAAGAGTTGGTTGCTTGACCTTAATGCCCCGTTCGAACTGTGGACAGACAGGAATTCAGTCAAATAGGCAGCTAAGAGCTTTAAATCAACTCCAAAAGAAACTGGATCTTGGTAAAAGTCTTTGTTTATTTTGCAGATGAGGTGATGTCCATAGACCAGAGCATGCTCAGGCTCATCCTGGAGAACCACATCCTGAAGAACAAGTTCACCCTGGGGCAGCTGTACAACGGCCAGCTCCTGGAGACTCTGGGGGGCAAATTACTCCGCGTCTTCATCTACCGCACTGTAAGCACCTCACTGCAAAGACTACAACCAGGCCCACCGACAGAAATTTGGAGACCCGGGACAAGAAGACTTAAATGTGCCCCCCTCTAAAATAAATTAATATGTAGATGGTCCAATTTTGGGGCCCTTAAACCCTGGGGCTCGGGACGACAGACCCGTTTATCCTCCCCTGTTTACTGCCCTGACTACAACTACAATGATTTTTAACTGTGTTTGGGCATTTTTGTAATGGGCCCATATTACACCATTTTCTGATCTGTTATAATATTGTTTCTGTGGAAGCTCATTTCCGCTAGAAAATAAAAAATAAAAGCCTCACAGAAAGTTATAATTATGAGTTTTAAAGTCATAATTATAAGGTTAAAACTCATAATTATGACTTTAAAACTCGTAATTATGACTTTAATACTCGTAATTATGACTTTTAAACCTATAATTATGACTTTCTCTAATAATTCCATGTATGTTTGTGATGAGGAAACATATGGAAGCCCATTTCCTCCAGTAAATAAAACATAAAAGGCTCACAGAAAGTCATAATTATGAGTTTTACTGTCATAATTATGAGTTTTAAAGTCATAATAACGAGTTTTAAACTTACAGTTATGACTTTCTGTGAGGCTTTTATTTTTATTTTCTGGCAGAAACAATATAACTGATCAGAAAATGACATAGTATGGGCCTTTTACACTATAAAATGTGAAAAGTCATTGCAAAAATGCCCAAACGCAGTTAAAAATTACTGTTGTGTAGTCAGGGCAGTAGGCAGGAGAAGGCAAAGCGGTTTGTTGTCCTGGGCCCCAGGGTTTTAGGGACCCAGAATTGGACCCTCTACATATTAATTTATATTAGAGGGGGGCCCATTTGAGTCTTCTTGCCCTGGGTCTCCAAATTTCTGTCAACAGGCCTGACTTTTAAACTCATAATTATGACTTTTAAACTCGTAATTATGACTTTCAAACCCATAATTAATAAACTTTTTGTAAGGCTTTTGTTTTTTTATTTACTGGCAGAAATGGGTTTACATATGTTTCCTCATCACAGACGGACCTGAAGTTACGTTTTGTTTCATTCATACACGTTTAACACACAAACCCTGCATATTTAGGCTGAGTTCGGGTAAGGAAGACACCCTATTCCACCTTGTAATGTCATTTCATAATACAGGAAGTGCTCCACTGCGTTTCTAAACACCCAAACACCTTCAGTAGAATCATATGGATAATTCCAGACCTGAACTTGCCCAACTCATCTGAACCGAATTCACGAAGTGGCTGTTAACTTGAAAACTACAATATTTTGAGCTTTGGAGATGAAGACATGTGTGAATGAAACAAAACACAACTCTGGGTCTGTTTTTGATGAGATAACAGCATCGTAACATGTCTTAAATCTTACAGGAGACAATTTTGCGTAATATAGGACCTTTATTTACCTTTTTATTATTTGCTACATAATTCCATACATCTTGCTTCATATATCTGATGTCTTCCATATGTAGAAAGTAGTAAAAAAGAAAAAAAAAAGACACTGAATGAGAGTGCGAGTCCAAACTTTTACTGCCAGTGTATGTATTTTCAGTCATTGTAAATCTTAGCGGTTTCAAACATTGCTAGAGAGCTCTTTATTTTTAGCAAACACATGTGCAGAGAACATATCTAAAACACTGTCCACATGCAGTCCATGTGTTCTGGAGCCAGTTCTGATTTCCTCCTCCCCTGTGGCGGTGGTGGTGGTGTTTTGTTTTTTTTGGCAGGCCGTGTGCATCGAGAACTCCTGTCTGATCCGAGGCAGCAGGGAGGGAAGCAACGGGGCTCTCCACTCCATGGTAACTTTCCTCAAGCCCCCGGAAAGTTCCATGTACCAGATCCTGACCGAAGACGGCGGGTTCAAGTGAGTCCAGCCACGTCTCCACAGTGCAACATCTACATCATCTCCTCGTGGGTAGATGGGGAAATGCCTCTGCTGTGATGGCTAATAACTTTTTATGATCAGTTTTATTTGAATTTTTAGTATTTATGTGTGAAAGTATTTGTTTGTATTGAGCAGTAGTTCTCAAACTGTGGTACATGTTAGGAATGGGCTGATACAGATTTTTGAGCCAATATCTATATTCGATATTTGGCCTTCTGCTGTGACCAGTGTTGGGTGTAATGCAGTACAAAGTAATGCATTAGAATAACGTAACTACATTTTTCCTTTTGCTCCTTCCTTTTCCTTTTGCAACGTTACTTTTCTGTGTACGCGGGCTGGTCTCAGGGAGGGCCCGTTCCCACCCAGGCAGAGGGCGCAGCGGGCACCCACGGCCCCGGGAAGCGGCGCGGTCCGGCAGGAGGAGGTGTAAAGCACGCCTCGAGCCTTTCCTGGCCGACCCAGAACCGGTCGCTGTGCAAAGCCTTGGAGGAAGCAGGGGCTAGCGATACGTGGGGAGAGATCCCTCGAGGGGGATCCACCCGCAACGAGTGGCCGTCCCTTGCCCGCAGAGTTGAATCCCCTGGGCAGAGTGCATGGACCCCACTCGTTTACCTCTTAGCGGTTTCACGTCCTCTTGAACAATCTCTTCAAAGTTCTTTCCAACTTTCCCTTATGGTACTTGTCGTCTATCACTCTCATGCCTTAGATGGAGTTTACCACCAAAGAGCAACAAGTAACATAAAAAGTTACTAAGTAAAGTAAGGGAATACCTTTTAAAGAAGTAAGAAGTAATGAGCAAACATTACTTTTTTGAAGTAACTTCCCCACCACTGCCTGTGAACGTTCACATAACGATATCTGCCAATACAGATATTTAGCTTTTAAAATCTAGAGCAAGGCCCTGAAATGTATTGTAAGTTGAAGTAAATTTCACTTTTGTAAAAAATAATAACAAAATGTATTAAACTGAAATATAAAATAATTAGTTCCATGTTTGTTTAAACAGAATAGAGCCATATAACACTCTTCTATTTCTGTTGGTCAGTGCTAAAAAGATATCAGCATTAAATATCGATATAGGCTGATACTGATGAATCAGCATCGATACTGGCTACTTCCCATTCCATCACTAGTAAATGTACAATTGGTGGAACCTGCACTTTTTCTGATAGAGTCTTAGTCTAGTCTAGAATTAGTCCTGATTTTGTTAAGTTGTAGTTTTGTCCTTGTTCCTGATTTAAAACTGGCTAAGGTCCAAACCAGTCTAAAGAAACAGATTGCATAACTTTTATTGTCCAGGCTTTGGTTTTAATTTTGTATTCAGCGATGTTGATGTTCCTCTGAATTGTAAATGTACCTTTTAGTTGTGTGTGAAAAGGTTGAAGTCCTTTAGTTGTTGATTAATGATGTCTTAGTTAACTTCAGATCAAACTTTATTGATCCACAAGGGAAATTATTTGGACTACTTCTGTTATTAAGATTTTGAGGATTTATATGGACCACAGCAGAGAGGAAAATGCGTAGTTGTAGCTGGAGTAAAATCTGCTTTTTCATTAGTGAACACCTAGACGCTTTGAGATCTTTTGAGAAAGTGTCATTGTTGATCAAGTGAAAAAAATAGATAGATCGCAATCCTTTGCTCTGTTTCAGTGCAGCTAACATAAAAAAATAAATTGTTATTACTATGGTATCACTTTACAAATCTTAATACTTTGAAATATGACTGCTCTGTACTTTTTGAACAATTAGTTATTATGTAATACTGATAAGATTGTATCACACTGAACCTGTGGGGTCTTCCAGTTCCACACCAAACACTTGAAAAGCCCGTTTAATTCTAAGTGTTGTGTTTGTGTAGGATCTTCCTGTCTCTGATGGAGGCTGCCGGTCTGACTGATCTGCTCAAACAGGAGGGAGAGTTCACCCTGTTCGCCCCCAGTGATAAGGCCTTCGCTGGCTTGAGCAGCAGAGACTTGGCCCTGCTTAAGAGTGAGTTGTCTCTGCGTATTATTTATCCACAAAGGTGATGCCTGTGATTGAGAGGTTTCATTAAAACCCGCCGTGTCTTGTCTCAGAGGACGTGAACGCCCTCAGAACCATCCTCCTGTATCACTTCAACAATGGCGCGTACATCGGGGGAGGTCTGGAGATGGGCGTGACCAACCTGCTCAAGTCCCTCCAGGGCAGCAACCTCCGGGTCATCGCGGTGAGTCTCTGCGCCAAACTGACTGACAGAATACTGGAAAGCCACATGAAAGAATGCTATGAATAAAACATGTAATTAATTATCAAGGAAGAATACAAAAATGTAAAAAAAAAAAAATCATAATAAATCAACTTTGAAACTGAAGATACAGGGCAGGGTAGAAGATGTATGAAGTAGTGGAACATAAAGTACAAGTAGTACGGTACTGTACTATACTTAAAGGTACATTGTGTAATTGTGCTTTGTCTGGAATGTTTCACAATATGGCATTAAACCTTTCTATCCTCATGGAGACCAAACCTGATCAAGTTACATGTCAGATCTGTGGAGAAGCAACCCCATTCACAGTCAGAATGCCTGTTTTTCTTGGTATTTTTTAGCTATTTTTTGAGTATTTTTACTACAGTATGACATTAAACAGCTCTACCTTACATTTATTCAATTACAGGTGGTTTTATAGCTTGAAATTCTGACATTCAGACTGTAAGCCGGATTGCCTCTCCTCAGATCTGACCTGTAACTAAGGTTTTAATACCATACCGAGAAACAATCAAGACAAAGCAATAGCATCTCCAAAATGCACCTTTAAAGGGACGGTCCGGAATTTTGGACATAGGACCTCGTTTCCTAGTGAGCCAGAGTGTTGGAGACGTGAGGAGACACTTTTTAAAATATTCCATCCAGTCCTTGTATTTGCAGAGGTGTTAGACTAGTGCATGTCAATGGCCGTAGTTATCCTGCCACCCACTCCACAAAACACCCGAAGCAAAACAATTACAACGCCAGACTGTCGATGTGTTGATAGAATAATTTTAGAAGTAAAACCAACCTTGCATTTGAAGGATTTATGTCTGAGCAGCAGCGAGTTGTTCTTCCTGATAGAAAGCTCGGCAGCGGTGGACTGATATGTGAGAAAATAGTCCCTCAACATGCGACGATTCATGTGATACAAGGTTGGTTTTACTTCTAAAATGATTCTATCAACACAGACATTTACATTGACAGTCTGGGGTAATAACAGATTTGCTTTGTGTGTTTTGTGGAGTGAGTAAGACTGTTTTTAGTGGCAGGATAACTATGGCCGTTGACATGGACTAGTCTAGCACCAGCGACCTCTGCAAATACAAGGACTGGATGGAATATTTAAAAAAGTGTCTCCACACGTCTCCAACACTCTGGATCACAAGGAAATGAGGTCCTATGTCCAAAATTCTTCTTCTTCCACCACTGTTTGTGGTTCATATACGAGTCACTGGACTGAACAATTGCAAAGTCAAAAACAATAGAATGAAATCAAACTTATAAAAGACCATATTTTTGAAGCTTATAAGATTACAATTAAATCAATAAAGGAAATTTGCTAAAACATTTATATTACAGCTAAGCAGCTCTTGAGGTCAAAATAAACCTGCTGTCTGCATCTATAGTCAGCATTTTATTGTTCGATAATCAGGAAGTGCACAGTTAGTATATTTATTTCGTTTATTTATAAGACAGGGACAGTGCACACATAAAAACAGCAGCACTAGAGCTTATTTCCATGTGTCATGTTTTTTAGGTTGTTCTAGTTAGCTTTACTGCCATGACGAAATACTGAGAGTTGTGAAAAACACTCAGAAACTCATTGTGTTGAATACTTAGGATGTTCTGAATGCATAAAGTAAGTGAGAAAATACTTTGGACCACTGCAAACTGTCTAAAAAGTTATATTTTTACGACAATGAAAATTAGATACAGCGTCTTTAAACAGAGAAGCGATAAATCACCACTTGACGACTTCACACAAATATCAGATCGTCAGAGGAATCAGATATAGTTATGATCTGTCTTAAAGCGCAGTGTAAATTATGGTTCTTGGCAGTGTATTTCTTAATTGTTCCCTTCCCCCAGACCAACAGCAGCGTCTCTGTGAACTCTGTGCCTGTGGGAGACGGTGATGTCATGGCCACCAACGGAGTCATTCACTACGTCGACAAAGTTCTCTATCCTGCAGGTAACTCTTCAGACTGCATCCAACACTAACACATGTTCATTATGCTTTTGTTAAAGAAGATGCATTGCGCTTTTGGGTCCTCTTTGTAGTTATAATCTATGACACCCACAAATCAGATCATTAGGTTATAATTTGGAGAAAACTGTAGTGCCAGATGGGAGCTGATGTCGCCATTGTTACAACCCAGTACTAAGGACAAAGGAAAGTAACACGAACAAGATGTGGAACCTAAACGTAAGTAAGTATAATAACAAAAAGAAGATAAGATAAATCAGAAATTCCAAATACAACTAAACAATACCTCTAATGGGTTAAGTATAAATCAAAGAAAATACAAATGCCCAAAGGCCGAGCCAAACTGGCAAATACAAACAAATAATAGGTCATAATAGAACATACAATTCAACCAGAGACTCGTCTATCAAGGAATGTGGTGAGCTGAAACTGAAATCCAGCTGCGAGGAGGAACAGACGCACAGCACTTTTACTGGATGAGACGACGGGATGTGTAGGAAGGGGATTGGAGGAGCGGGACGTCAATCCTCCAACCAGAGGCGACGAACATTGGAGTCAGCCCAACAGCGACGGGACCGCACCCCACCAAACAGGCGAATATGGACAGACAAGCAGCAGGCAGTAAAACAAACGGGGAGCGCCGGGCGAGGCGGAGCCAGGCCGCGAGCCGTAACACCGTAAACGTCATCATAACAAAGGACCGTGTAGCTGTCAGCACCTCCGATGGATAACTGCACATCACACGAGCGAGCAGCAGATATTTTTTATTTGTACCAAAATGAATACACGACTCTGCCAAATCCTACATTTATCACTGATTAAGAAAATGAAAAGTGCGTGTGTACCGGTGGTTAGAGCCCTGCACTACACACCCGCACTACACTCCCGCGGGACCCGATTGCAAAACAGTGCAGCGTGGGACACATATTTAGTTCCACAAACTAAATATGAGTGTAAAGTGAAATATACAAATGATTTATGTTTGCCTATCATACATCATTTGTGCTGGATATTTTATTTGGCATTAAAAAAAACATTTTTAACAGCTTAAATTTGTAGATGTGGTCTAATCTTGTGCACATTTTAGACAATTTCTTCCCGCTTCTACGTGTTTGATAGAGCTTAAGAAAGCGAACGTCCCCATCCTGCGGGACTTGCAGGCAGGAGCGGGACAAAATATCGCAGATGCGGGCGGGAGCGGGACTGAAAATTACAATTCTTTGCGGGAGCGAGACTGCACAGTGCGGGTGCGGGCAGGAGCGAGACTGAAAATTTTATCTCGCACAGACCTCTACCGGTGGTGATGAAAATGGAGGTTGAGCATCAAAACGGTGTCTTGAAAATAAACAATTAAAAGATTGAAGATTAAAATGCACAAATCACTCCAAATACAACTCAAGTTTATATTGGACACTGGTCTCTACACTGAAGACCATCGAAAGGACAATTCTGCACAATTTCTGTATATCCAAGTAGCACTCCTGCCTCCCAAAGCACTCCAAATACAACTTCGGGTGATTAAATGGCAAGTGGAAATAACTATAACTCTGAAAGGTCGATTTTGCAGAATAGGTCTGTTTTAATAGTGGATACTGATGCAAAGGAGGTTTCACAATTTAAAACTCAACTTTAAAACATTTCTATTGATTGATTGTTTTATTTTCTACATTTTGGGGTTCACAGAGAACACTTGGATTAGTCACAGTGAAGCATTTTGAAATAAGTAATTACCTGCATGACTAATTTCAGTAAGTGGTTGATAGAGACATGCACATCCAATAAAAATTGCAACTACGCACTGGGTCCAAAGACAAAAACAGTACAAAAAAAAAAGAAAGAGATCCGCACTGCAGTTCTTTAAAGCTCCAAATGTTTTACTTTCAATGAACGACAAAAATTTGGAGCTTCAAAGAACTTCAGTGTGGATTTCTTTCCTTTTTTGTACTAATTTCAATAAGTACCAAAGCCTGCACAGGTGTAGGTCAAATCCTCCAGCTGAGTTAGTCCTGATCCACCCTCGACCAGGATCTGGAGGCGTCACAGGTTTCCCCAGTGACATTGAACAACAGGTCAAATACACAGGGTCAATAAAGTGTGGCGGTAAAGACATTTGTGTCTAAAAGCTAAATTATACTCTTGGAACCTTCCTTTCTTTCTTCATTTGGACACAATAGCAGATCGTTTGTAATATAATAAATAATACATGATTGTGTTTTTCTCAGATATGCCTGTTGGAAGCGAGGATCTCATTTCTCTGCTGAGACGTTTCATCACATACATGGAGTTTAAGGTGGGCCACAGGACACGACCGTCTGACTAACAATGCCGATCAGATCAAACTTTAGTTATAATGCAGTTAAAGGCACTTATTACACTGTTTTCTGATCTGTGTCATAATGTTTCTTCGTCACAAACAGACCTGGAGTTGTGTTTTGTTTCATTCACACGTTTAACACAAAGATCCTGCGTATTTAGGCTGAGTTCTCCTCTCAAACAAAACAAAATTCAGCCCTGGAATAGCCGATTTATACAGAACTAAAGTTAAAATGTAGATGTTAATGTGAAATCTACCGCTTCATGACATCATAAGGTGGACGAGAGTATTTTGAGCTTTGGAAATATAGACAAACTGATAATAAAAGATTACTCAAATATGTGAATGAAACAAAACTCAACTCGAGGTTTGTTTTTGATGAGGTAACAGCATTATAACATGGCTTAAAGCTCAATAGTAGGGATGGGACGAGACATAATTTTCACAAGACGAGACGAGATACGAGATTGAGTTCATGAGAATGAGACCAGATAACATTTTAACATAATTCCTAATATATAAAATTCACGATTCATTCTCCAATAGGGATGTAACAATAACCGAAATATCGTGATATCGTATCGTCAAAGTTCTCACAGTATATCGAATTACAAGTCTCTTTGCTTAAATTAAGAGTTACGGTGCAGCAATAACAAAAAAAAAGACAGAGGGAACTACATAGACCATGATCCTTTGCTCCATTTCAGTGTAGATTACATGAAGAAATAACAGTTCTAAACACTTTTAAGTCTTAGTTCTTTGGATTAAGTCTTGTAAAGGCATTTTAAGAGGAAAAAGGAGCAAATTAACCTCCAAAAAATATCGCAGTAAATTATCGTACCGTGAGATGTATATCGTGAAAATATCGTAAGAGATTGTTACATCCCTAATCGTGAGCTTCCCCAACATATCGTGAGCTTTCCCACGATATCGCAATAAATATCATACCGTGAGGTTCGTATCGTGAAAGTTTGATATCATTACATCCCTAGTTTCCAATTTTGGCCTCACAGTGTTTTATTTATTTGATTTCATTGTTTTGTTTCCATTCTGTTATTGCTTTTGGGAACTGTAAAAGATGCAAGTCACCAACATGTAACTCTTTTTTTGTCCAATCCAAATGTAAACAAATGGAAAAAAAGTCTTACAAGATCATTTTTCTCATGTGCATGATCTTGTAGCAGTTTTGTCTCACGAGGTCTTGTACCCTCCCTACTCACTAATCAATTTTGTGTAATATTCGTCCTTTAACTAATGCAGCTCAGGCCTTTTAATGCTACTGTACATTAAAAACTGGTTTACTGTGTCAGCAGCATCATTGTTTATCGCAACATTTCCCCGTAGCAATATATCGTATTTCAAAATATGTTATAATGACAGGTCTAATTATGGAGCACATTGTAAAACTCATGTTATGTGTCTAATTTGTCTTTATGTTTTACCTCCAGTTCAGTCCAGGTTTCAGGTACCAGGAAATCCCCCTTACCTTTCTGAGTAAGTAGCCGAAACATCGCACGGCGTAAATCACTCTTTACAAACACTAACGCTTGATATATTTGTTATCGGCAGGGAGGATCGTCACTCGAGTTGAGACAGGTACGGGACTTCATATATTTTCATAACTTGATAATAAAGGAAGGACTGAGGTGCGCACAAGCTGTCAAAACGTCAACACTTTTGTTAATGCGCCAGTGAGTGTTATAATTAACTTCATTACTCACACAGGATTAGACACGTTGTACGGATCGTTCGGTTCCTAAATATTTTCCGTAGATGCAGGCACGGCTTCTTCGGAAAACGATTAGTCTGACTTTTTTGCCAAGCACTTGTTGCCCTTTTGATATTTGGGTGAGGTCAATTGATGATTTGTAGCTGATACTGTCAACATTCCCTGGGGAAGTGAAGTTACTGAAAGGTCTACCCAGTTAGAAGCTGTTACTCAAGTTAGACTCTGGGAACTCCAGAAAGCGCTGACTTGGTTGGAACTACAACAGGTGAGCTGAGTTGTGCCGTTAAACAAACATCTAAATTAGAGGTCTTCAACAGGAGGGTTGTGAAATCTTAGGTTGATTAGACTTTTTTTGTTTTAATATTTCATTTTTGAAGGATGAGGATGGATTGGTTTTCAGTGGGTTCTTTCTGTTCGCTCCTTTATCAACGTCTGTGTCTCTTTCTTCACTCCCTCGTCTCTCGCTCCTCGTCAAACTGCAAATACGTCGGCCGGGATTTTATCGTTTCTTCTACGTCACATGTGAAGAGGTCCATTACAGCTTTACTTTTACGCACAGCGGAACTTAATCTCCACACGTACTACCGCACATCAAGAAGGGGTCGGGCAACTTCCTTCCTTGGCCCGCATTAATCAAGCTTCAGAGTCCGTGCTACGCAGACAGCAACCGAAGGAGCGATCAGAAGAGGAGGGTGTGTCGTGTCTTTCCTCTCACTCCTCGGATCAGAATGACTGGAAAAGTTCCATGGCGCAAATCAGACTGTTGTCCGTGGGCGCTGTGGCTCCTCTTTTGTTTAATCGGATCGTTTAAAAAAGTCACACTTTGAGTCCATTTTCCATGATGTCGTTGCTCCGTTGATCTCAGAGTTACCGGAAACGTCCACAAAGTGCAACTTAAACTTCAGGCCTGAATTAGCTTTGGTCAAACTTAGGCTTATTTCCGTCATGAAACGAGCTGAGGCTTAAACTGGAGATGGAGCTAGTTTCAGCTCAGGATTTCAGGATAAGCCTAGTATTGAATGTACAATAACAGAGTAGTTAAAGGTTGTATAGAGGATTTTCCAAGGAACGAGAAATCCAGCGACTGTTTGTCCTTTTTCAAATGTTGCGCATGCGTGAAACCACCCCCCTCCCCTACAGCTCCTATGTAGAAACGCCTTCTCCCGCCTCCTCTTTACGCCAGAAACAGGTTTGTTTACAGCCGCTGCACATGACTTGTAAACAACTAACTACAGTGTTGGTTAGGCAAGACGGAGAAGTGAGGAGCGGGGGGAGCGGGTGCGCGGACATTTCGTTCGCGGACGAGAAGTGAGGAGCAGGGAGCAGGGAGAGAGGAGAGAGGAGAGAGGAGAGAGGAGAGGGGAGCGGTGCGCGGAGATTCTGTGCCCGGAGAAGTGAGGAGCAGGGGGAAGAGTGGATTGGGCAGCGGGGACAGGAGCAGGAAAGGGGTGCAGAGAAGGTTGCGCGGAGATTCCGTCCGAATGAACTAGTTACAACACGCAGCAGCAAGCGGACTCTTTCTTTGCCTTGAAAATTACGTTTTCAGACATAGGATATCGCTTTCGTGTCCTGAAAAACGTTTGTGTAGCTCTTGGAAATAAAGTACGTTTTCATAATAAGCAGAAGTTTCCTGTCCAGGAGTAATTTGTGGACCAGTGCGTCAGTCTTTAGACCCTGCGTCTGCTTCAGTCGCGCCATCGCTGGAATGAATCTTCAAGAATCACCTTAGTTTGGCTTCGCTGCTTTTCCCCTTGTCTTCTTCTTTCAGCGACCTCAAAAACGGACTTTCTTTTGCGGCTAACTGCTCCTGGATTCTTGTCGCCATCGCAACAAACTTTGTGCTAACTGCGAGGAAGATATAGGTCAAAAAAAGCCGCTAAGAACTGTTGCGTTGGTGGAGTAAACAGCGTCTGTGCGTCTGTGGACTGCGTGACAGACGTACGTAAACCACGTACCGGCGGCGCGCAGGCAAGTCAGTTACGCTAGAAACGTAGGGAGTTTGATTGACAGCCTGTCAGCTCACAGATAACGAGGCAGTGTCGTTATCTATTGGCAAATGTTTAGCCCCACCACGTCCAGAGTTGATGAATTTTTATTCTCTTTTTTTTGGTCATCATAATTACAAGGCTACTGCTTCTCTATAATGCTATCATTGACAACTTGAAACAAAAAAAAAACAAAAAAATCCTCCATACAACCTTTAAGTTTATACACAACACTAGGCCCAATTTACACATAAATACAATTGTATGACATATATATAGTAGGGGGCCCCTGCTCCAGCTCTCCATCAGTTTGAGGGTCCCTCGCCTGAAAAACGCTGAAGACCCCTGCTCTAACTCATAAAATTACAGTCAAAAGCTCACCAGCATTCGCCAAAACTGGGGAAAAAAATGGGTACAGGCTCTTTAACCAGTCACTGAATGTAACCCAAGTTCTCTGAGTTTTACATCGCTGTTTGAGCTTATTCTTGAGTTTCATTCATTCAGAGGATATATATTTTTGTATTGTTAATTACTACGGCAACAGGACTAATTTCTTATCATTCTGAAACCCATGTATAGCAGACACATTTCTCTCTTCAGATTGGTAAAGCAAGCATATTGATACTTGTTGGAGGTGTTTTACGTGTATCTCTATGGTGGATTGTTCAACAGTTACCATGGAGACACACTGCACACATTAGCAAACACTGACAAAAAAAGATTTAAGATAGTCTGAAAACTCAAGAAAAATACAAAATGGATGAAAACAACTCATTTTCAGGAGCTTATGATCACAGTGACTGAAAAACCTTTGGCTTCTTGGACTTTGTTTAAGAGCACAAATCCTCTCACCTGTTGTAGTTTTAGCTGCTAAATCAGTTGTTTTTGGTCAGATCGTGTTAAATTAAAGCTCAAATTAAAGTCTAACTTGAGTAACAGAGCTTCAGACCAGAGCGTTGCCCACAGTGTCATACTCTAAGGCACAGGTGTCAAACATACGGCCCGGGGGCCAGATCCGGCCCTCCAAGACCTTTAATCTGGCCCTCGGCTGATTTTCTACTAAAATATTTGAATTATATTTGCTTTTTAAATATTGGTAATTTTCTGAGGTGTTTATCACAGCAGCGTCTCCAGCGTCTCTGTACGTGGCCCCTCCCACCAGAGCAGCACAAATGAAGACTTGTCTCTTTCCAAACGCTCTTAAAGGACGATCGTTTTGACTGTTGACCGTGACACCCTCATCAGAAAAATGTCCAACATGAGAAAAGTGGAGCCGAGTGCAGGATTTTACAACAAAAACATTGTGTTGAAATTGCATTTTTCTTAAAGTTTCAGGTTGTTCATAATATAATATTTTGTAAAAGAAAGAGTTCATCAATTAAAAAAGATTTCTGTAATAGATTTGCGTTTCTGTGCACAAATATTTGAATTTATTGCGATTTTTGGGGCCAGGAGTTTTCTGATGCGGCCCCTTTGGGATCAAAGTAGGTTGGACACGGCCCCCGGACCAAAATGAGTTTGACACCCCTGAATATTCATGAAATGAGCTGTGAGTTTCAAATATCAATTGTAAAACCTGTGTGGCTGTGCATTTGCAGTTCCAGAAAGAAAAGTGACACGGGTGATCGAGAAGCCCTCCGTCACCAAGGTCACCAGGGTCATCGAAGGAGAGGCCCCCATCACCAAGGTCACCAGGGTCATCGATGGTCAACCCAGCATCACCAAGGTAACGAGAGTCATTGAGGGAGAGGCCCCCATCACCAAAGTCACCAGGGTGATCGAAGGACAGGGTCCCGTCACCAAAGTCACCCGGGTGATCGAAGGAGAGGGTCCCATCACCAAAGTCACCCGGGTCGTCTCAGGTAGGACTCAGACACTTCTGGACCACACTTTGAGAACCTTTTCTGTTGCTTATGTCATCTGCTTCTTTGTCTCTCAGGTCCTCAGTTCTCGTACAGCTCCGGAACCACCAACCTCGAGCTGGAAAGTAAGACCAACACTCCTATAGGCTTGTTAAAGGTGCACTGTGTAACTTTTCTAGTGGAGATTCTGTCAAATGTCTTGTCTCCATCGAGATGTTGTTGCTTTGTCTGGAATGTTTCACAGTGTGGTATTAAACCTTTCTATCTTCATGGAGACCAAACCAGCCCAAGTTGCAGGTCAGATCTACGGAGAGCTGACACTGACAGAGTCTGCAGCCTGAAGTGACCCAAATCCGATTTTTTTTTTTTTTTTTTGCCCCTTTGTGACCTGTAACTGATCTTTTAATGACAGTCTGAACAAAACAGATCAGATTTTTTCAAATGCGACCCAGGCCACTTGGATATGTGGTCCTAAAACCGATACATATCTGATCTTTTGACATGCGACTTCAGTCTGAACGGCCAGGTCACGTTCAACCTGACCGGCTATTGTGCGGTAACAAGCACCTGTTGCACGTCAATACAGCCCAATGCCGACACATTTTCTCACTGAAATAGGCCACTGAAGACGTGTTTCCTAAGTAGGCGCTCACAAATGCACACGAATGTTCTTCTGGTCATACGAAAATTGTGTATGAACTGTGTGAGTGAAGCAGTGAAGCCCATATCGAATCCCACCACTCTTGGCTGCAATTCCACACCCACAAGTTCCTTTCTATGGACGTTGCTGCCATTGTCCCGCAAAAAACCTCGTCCTTCTCCTTCTCAATCTCCTCCTTAAAGCAAATAAGCTGTACATGTTCTGGCTCCGGTACGACAGCAACTTTTGTTTAGGCGACTTCCGTAAACACTGAACACACTCGCTGCTTGTGACGTCGTCTTGACCTCCAATGAGCACGTGGGACACTTTTGGGGCGTTTAAAGTTCACACTGGAGATCACAAACAAGTCGCGTTTAATTGGAAATGTGAACGACCTCGCAAAAAAATCAGATTTCACAAAAAAATCTGAATTGAGCATTAAGCCCTGCAGTCTGAACGTAGCCAGGATGTCTGTTTTTCTAGGTCTTTTTGAGCGATAAAACCACCTGTAATTGAGTAAATGTGAAGCAGAAGTGTTTAATGTCATACTGTGGAACATTCCAGGCAGAGCAATGATATATCCATTGAAATAAGCAGGTGACGGACTCCAACCAGCGCTTAGTAATCCAATGTTATGATAAATTATTAATAAGGAACAAAAACAAAACTGTGACTCAGCTGTGAGGTTACCAGCTGGACTCTCACTTTACAATCCCTGCTTTAATTTTGGAGCGTGGGCCGTGGGAGAGTTGCAACCGACTAAATCACAAACACCAAAATACAACATCTTCTTTGAATTATCTTTGAACTTTCCTTGTGCTACCTGATCCAACCTTGATAGTGAGTTAGGGGCCACCAGGGAGGTATGAATGAATTCCTTTTCCAGATACACGAAGCATCTGATCTGCGTCCTCCTGTGAACCTCAAGCACCTGAGATATTATCTGAAGTCGTACGATTGTGTGTGCTTTTTTTTTTTTACTTTTATTGCCACAAACCAACTCACATCAACAGCGTCCTGAGACCGGGTCTTCACACAATTTATATATGGGTCCGGTCAAGTGGTAACTGGAGAAACGGGCAGATTTTTTACATTCAAATGTCTCTTATTCAGAAACTAGAGGGACTATTGAAATAAGTAAAGTATCAGAATGTAGGAAAGAGTTACACTCCAACAGGGTCAAGTTAAACCTGTGATATTCTTTCAAGTTGTTGACAAAAAATTTAAAAAACTCATGTCGGTAACGGAGGGAATGAAATATGCAGCACATTTTGGGCAATAAATACAAACAGTGATAACTCTTGGTTCTCACTTACATATCCTTAACAAACTGGTTTGAATATTTGCTTCATATAGTTTTCTACCATATGGTACAAGATTAGGTTGAAAAACCTCTTACTTTTTGAGTAATGAGATTTTTTATTAAGAAAGGTCATGGTAACGGAGGGAAAAGTAACAGAGGGAAAAGTAACGGAGGGAAAATTGTGCAAACAAGTAGAAGGTGCATGATTTTGCATAATTTGTCGCTTTTTTCTTCTGAATACTTTAATATTACTTCAAAATGAAAGGAAACTATTTCTATAAAATATGTCAGTCCTTCCAAGCAAATTTTTATCATTTTAAATACTTTTTTTTTTTTTAAAAAAAAAAATCATGTTCAAAGATCGAATAACACAAGATATGATGAAATACATCCATTTATTTACATGATTTTCAGGTCTTTGAAATTTGGGAAATAATTTTTGTTCCATGTTTCATACATGGTCTGTTTAAAACGTATGTAACTTTAGAACCAAAAATGGTACAGAAAAAAGGTAAACAGTTTCATAAACTAGAGTACATATGTATCTGTTCAATACATTTTTATATCAGATGCATTAACTTGAATTTTTGGCCTTGTTGTTTACTTCTGCTTGACCGGGCCCGTGTGCTTTTAATGGACCTTTAATAGTACTCCTTCAAATATCTTGAGTAACAACATTATAATATGACTTAAAGCTCACAAGAGTCACAATTGCGTAGTGTAGGGACTTTAAAAATCAATATTTATAAAGAAAAGACGGAAACTCAGGACAGTAAAGACCTTTATGTACAGTGTAGATACTTAACTGTTTATAAAAGTAGGTGTTGTTCTTTCAACTAAAGACTAACCTTCATTAACCTCAAATTAAAATATAAGTAAGAGAGACCGACAGAGACAGAACACCTACTTCTCTAGAACGCAGTATTTACTTAGTGCGTCAAGTGTGTACCGTGTTCTCAGTGTTTATCCGTCTGTAAATATTGATCTGGTCCAAATTCTCCTTTTAACTCCCAAGTTCAAAGCAGAGTTTACGTCAACTAGAAGCAAACACATACTTTAGCATTTTCTATTTTTAAAGCTGATAAATAATTGAAACTCCGAGGAGCTGGGTTGTTTCTGCGAAGTGTGACGTGATCTTTCCCTTCTGTTTTTGTGCAGACCTATCCCGTATCGAAGGGAACCCCGAAACACTCACCAAAATCATCACAGGTGGGTCCAGTTATGTTCAGGTTTCAGACTTGTAAGAAATGACCAGGAATGCACCAATCCAGCTTTTTCAGTTGCGATACCGACTACGATAGTACGTCTTCAAATATTTGCCGATACCCGATATCAGAGGTGGGGGCTTGAGTCACTATTTTTAGGACTTGAGACTTGACTTGAGAAAATGGACTAAGACTCAGGACTTGACTCTGAGACTTTATGCTTCTGCTGAAAATATACAGTGTATGTTTTTACAAAATACTTCAGTTGATAAATGCGGTGCTGAATTTTACGGGAACAAACTGGAACATGTCCTTCCCACTTATCTATTTGTTACTATGGCAGCAGTAACTGAAGTACTGCGATGTGGTATCCTCAAATGTACTACAGTAATTTACAGTACAATACAGTAAAACAGAGAGAACATAGAACATGATCTTTTCCTTTAACTTCTTGGGTTCTTTTTAAAGACAGTACAGTAAAGTGTGTTTACCTTGTTGACATGTTTCGGCTGCTGCTGTGAGTCATCTTCAGAACTGTCCCTGGTGTTGGTGGTGACATGTCGTATATCAGCTGTTGTTACTTCCTGTAGGCGTGGTCAGCCTGATGGACCTGGCAGGTCGCTCAGACTGACCACGTCTCCCGTCGCCCGGTGTCTCTGGAGGAGGGGGTCCCAAGTGTGTGAAAGGAGGAACGAGCCGTCATCAAGGTTAATCCTGTCCGTGCCTCGTTTCCTGATTTCAATGGCCTCCTTGATCCAGCGTTTGAACTTCTTGTTTTCTGATCCAATGACCCGAGCCCCGTCCCAATCCAGAATGTGGTTGTTCAGTTTTGTTTTACAGTGCTCTGATAGTGGCTCGGGTCATTGAATCAGAAAACAACAAGGTGCGTTCCTCCTTTCACACACCTGAGCCCCCCTCCTCCAGAGAACATCGGGTGATGGGAGGCGTGGTCAGTCTGAGTGACCTGCCAGGTCCATGAAGCTGACCACGTCTACAGGAAGTAACAACAGCTGATATACGACACGTCACCACCAACACCGAGGACAGTTCTGAAGACGAATCGCAGCAGCAGCCGAAACATGTCAACAAGGTAAAAACACTTTACTGCATTGTCTTTAAAAAGAACCCAAGAAGTTAAAGTATATAAGAAGACAAAATGAACATCTTTGGCTTAACATGATCTTTCCATTTCAGTGCAGACAACACGACAAAATAACTGCACTTTTAAATCTTAATTCTATCTGTTCTGATCATAATAATTCACACTAAGATCTCGTCAAGACTTTTAAAAAGGCAACATGTGCATTTCTACAACTCTTATAGAAATATACAATGACTTTTTAAGTACAATGTAATTTAAAATTATGACTTTAAAGTCATATAAATTGCAAAAATCTAGACTTGAAATGACGTGAAGCTCAAAGCAGACGACTTGGACTTGACTTGGACTTACTGTAAGGGCCAGTGACCCGAGACTCGACTTGGGACTTAACTCGGACTTGAGGTCAAAGACTTGAGACTTACTTGAGTCTTGCTAAAGGACGATTCGATCCCACCTCTGCCCGATATCGACCGATACCAGTGCAGAGACTGAAAACAGCGTTTATTTCCTTCAAACAAAAATAGTAAAATTTGACGAAACTTATCCAAATTTGTTCTGCAGATGTTGTTTTTAAGTAACTACAGAACAGATTTGTATGAATAAAAAGTCAAACATTATGGAGCCAATGACGGCGAGTAAAAAGTCTTCAGTTCATATGTCCAATCTGGAAATCAACTGAGCCGATATTTGGAAACCGATATCCGTTCCAGCAAATGTTTCAGTATCTGCACCGATATCTAATCCCAGTATCGGATCGGTGCATCCCTACAAATGTCAGCGTCCTTGTTTTCTTGTGTGATCTGTACTCTACATGTGTTTACCCCACATCAGGTGATCGAAGGAGACCTGGCAAAAAACGTATAGGTAAAACTTATCAAGTCGCTAAGCAAATGCTAATGTAGAAGAAAAAAAAAAAAAAAAAAAAGCAATTACTGGCTTGGCTAATTTGTGTTTTGTTGTTGTGCTTTTTTACTGCATCTCAAAGCTGCGCTGCTCCATGACGCTACAGCGGCTGCTCTCATGTCGTGCAGTTAGAGCCTAACGCGTTCACTCATCTGGTTTGTGTGAAGTTTGAGTTTATGGAACAGATCAGCAAAAATTAAGAACGACTTTTGAGCGACCGGGGAAGATGACGTGATGCGCAGGATAATTTTAAATTCTAGTGTTGCAAAAACATGCGGGTTTTATGATTATGTGATTATTGACAACGTGACCAAACTGTGAAATCATCTATTGAGTTTCAAGTCTATAATAACGTAAATGGCCATTCCAGTGTGTGAACAGATTTATATAAGGTGACCAGACGTCTCTGTTTACCCGGGACCGTCCCAGTTTTGAGCCCTGTGTCTCCTGTCCCAGCAGATTTATCCAAAACCACTGATTTGTCCCAGTTTTATACAAGAAATGTCCCTGGTTTTGACTAATTTGATCCCTGCCAACAGTAATGAGAGGAATAAATTGTCATTTGCTACAGAAAAAGATACTTAAAAATGACCAAAGCACAAAGAAAATGTGACTATACTGGCTCATAAATGGGCCAAGTGCAGAACAGTTTTCCTTAATTACACACTCGAGTCACAATTTTATTATTATCAACCACCACAAACCAAGAGTGTCCCAGTTTGTTTTTGTTTTTTTTTTAAATCTGGTCACCCTAGTTTTATAAAACAAAACTTTCTGGATGATAAAGTGAATTAACATGACATAAACATGACAAAAGGTACTTTACTTTTATGTTTAATTCTTTGGAGAGCAAGTTAAATTAAAGTAACTTATGTTTGCTTCTAAAATTAGTTAGTTCTTACAATTACATTATGAATCGCAAATCGCAAACTGGAGGCACTTTAACACTTAAAAGTGCGCACAAGCTGTAACACGACTAAGACTATGGCCACACGACGACGCTCCTGGATCAATAAATATTCAAGTCCAGATGACATCAGAGCACTGAGTGAAAACGATGTAATAAATCTGCCACACCTGTATGTGGCGCTGTTAACAAAGATAATAATATTTAAACATGTATATTTCATCACAGTTTTTTTTAAACTTTAAGGTAAATTGGCCGATTTTAGATGCATCCCACAAATATAGACATTTTGTTTTGCCAAAGTTAAACATAAGTTTTCGTTTTGAGCCATAAGATTTGGATGAGAATGATTAGAATAACTTGGTCTCAAAATCCAACAGTTTAATTACTCGTGCCTGATCTTTGTTATTGATCCGTGTGCGTAATCTGCGGTGCGTCTTGTTAGTATTAACACGAACACGTGGCTCTGTAGGCTACACCTGTCACATTTTGGTAACAGTCTTGCGGTCTGTGGAGGTTAGTTCGAGGGCTTCAGCCTTCGATGCGTCGGAGGACCTTGACGATGACGGGATTGTGACGTCATTGTCTTCCAAAAGCTGAGGTTTGCTCGTCCACACGACAACGCAATGCCGCCGTTCTCAGATTTTTCCACTCCGGAACCTGTTTTCGCCCACCCAAAACGCCAGCTCTGTGTGGACGAAAAACCAAAATGAATACAAACTTCACCGTTTCGACCAAAAAAACGTTGTCGCGTGCACAGGCCCTCAGTCACATCTTGGAGGAGGCGTCTTCGAGTTGAGGGACACAAACCTCAGGACTTATAAAATCATGAAACGAGAGATTTAAAGGTTATTGATCTCCCTGCAGCTGTTCTCCGTTTTACCAGCGCACATCTGCTCTGTTTAACTCACTAAACTAACTACAGACTAACGCAATACGAGAGATTTCGGGTCACTATGGATACGGGAGGTCACAGGCAATAGTAAAAACAAGAAGAGTAATAAATGTAAAAATAGATACTATAAATAGAGTTTATAGTAGATTTTATAAGCCTCCAGACACTCTTCATTCTTCAGCACAAGTCCACGCTGTTTGTTTCTTCGTGCATTTGTGACGATTGGATCAACACTGTTTCTCTAGAAATATTGTTCTGAATGATCCACAAATGTGACGGCCATCTTTGAATGACCACGCAGCGACCAAAGCGAATAGTTTAGCGCTTTATTAAGTCGCAGATTTGCTGACCCTTTCATTGTCGCTATAAGCTTCAGTCTTGCATTATTTCATGTATGTGTCGCTGATGCACCTTAATGCCACGCTCTGGAACATTTTACCCAACAATTCAATTACGCCATTTTCTGATCTGGGTTTTAATGTTGTTTCCTCGTCACAAACAGACCTGGAGTTGTGTTTTATTTCATTCACGCATGTTTAACTCACAAACCCTGCAGGTCTTCTCTCAAACTTACTTAAGAAAACACTCTGTTCCACCTTGTGATGTCATGTGGTAATACAGGAAGTGCTCCACAGCAGAGTCCTGCACAGGTCCATTTTTGGAGAGCCACACCCGCCCGTTAACCCAAGATTATATCAAAGTTAAATCCACATCCGTCCGGACTTGTCAACATTCCACCTGTTACCAGGACGCCCGTGCCCATGATAAACCAGGACTAGGACTAAACCAGGACTGAACTGAACCAGGACTGAACCAGGACTGAACCAGGACCGAACCAGGACTGAACCAGGACTGACTAAACCAGGACCGAACCAGGACAAAAATGGGACTAAAACAGGACTAAACCAGGACTCTAAACCAGGACTCTAACCAGGACCAGGACTAAACCAGGTCTAAACCAGGACTAAACCAGGACTAAACCAGGACTAAACCAGGAACTAAACCAGGACTAAACCAGGACTAAACCAGGACTAAACCAGGACTAAACCAGGTCTAAACCAGGACTAAACCAGGAAACCAGGACTAAACGAAACCAGGACTCCAGGTAAACCAGGACTCTAAACCAGGACTTAAACCAGAACTAAACCAGGACTACCACCAGGTCTAAAACAGGACTAAAACCAGGACTAAACCAGGTCTAAACCAGGACTAAAACTAAACCAGAACTAAACCAGAACTGAACCAGGTCTAAACCAGGATTAAACCAGAACTAAACCAGGACTAAACCAGGTCTAAACCAGGTCTAAACCAGGACTAAACCAGGACTAAACCAGGACTAAACCAGGACTAAACCAGGTCTAAACCAGGACTAAACCAGGACTAAACCAGGACTAAACTAGGAGCACAGTCGCTGAGCTGATCACCTCCTCTTATGGTTTCATGTAATAAAAACACTAAAGTCTCTCTCAGTCTGGCCTGTAATCGTTCCAGAAAAAGACCGGGAAACGGCTCTTGTTTCCAGGGCAACGAACATCCTGGTCAGGTATTTTCCTCTCGTTCGTCGTTAATTTAATTCACCCGACCCGCCCGTGTGTCATCACTACCCGCCCGTTTCAGCAACTATTTGCAGGTACCCGTTTGTGTTCCCCTCCACACACCTTCACTAGAATCATTTGGATCATTTCAGCCAATCTTTACTAAAAAAAAAAAAAAAAAAAAAAACGATAAAAGGAGCTGTTAACTTGCCACTGCATGACATCACAAGGTGGAACTGAGCATTTCGAGCTTTGGAGACACAGACGCTTTACTTAAACATGCGTGAATGAGAAAAAAAAAACAAAAAAAACACAACTCCGGCTCTGTTTCTGAGACGGTAACATCGTTCTAAACCTCACACGAGTCAATTTTGCGTCATAGAGGAGCTTTAACTCGGGAATGTTCCGCAGTGCAGCATTAAGACTAAGCATCAGCACAGTCCCAGAACTCACCAGGCCTGTTTCTAACTAAAATATACGATTTGTTGTGTTTTTTTTTTGTTTGTTTGTTTTTTTTTCTCCTCCCAGCTGGAAGAACACAAGGCAGGAACTAACCACCAACAGATGAGAGCGTTTGGAAGGGGAGGACGTACGTGAAACCCAATGGGAGCTTTGTACAGGGCTGTTCAAAGTCGTTACTGACAAACAATCTTTTTTTTTTTTATCAACTTATGGTGCTTCCAATGTATAGAGAAAATTGTACTGTGCAATAACGAAACGAAACAAATGAGCGTTCTTCTTTTTTTTTTCTGTTTTTTTGTTTTTGTTTTAGTTTTGGCTTGTTTCTAAAGGCATAAAGCGCGTTCAATAGCAATAAAATGTTTCTCCTGCTAGCTATTAACGCAGTCATAAAAGCAGAATTTCCCACTTTTATTACGTTTGCGAGATGGTAACTGTAAACAGAGGATTTGGCTGTCTCTTAAAGATCGTTGTGAAATGTGTATTATATAAACGTTTGGAAAGGACTGGAAAGTGAATTGTTGCTTAAACGTGGCTTAAGGTTGTTTTTTTTAACTCTTTTTTTTTTTTTTTTTCCTTGAAGATTGTATCCCGCAGCAGGTTTTGTCAGTTTAGTATCTACCAACTACCGTTTTTTTATTTTTTTTTTAGTTTCTGGTGTAGTTTTATACGAGTTTCGACCGCTTCTACAGTGTGTTACGTCATGTTGGGTAGAGCGCCTTTGTGAGTGATCTAATAAAGGGTTTGGGCTCTGTCTCCTGTCACTGTGAGTTTGTTTTCTGACTTTTATTTTACACGATCAGGGACAAACGGCAGCTGGAATCAAATTTAGACTTTTAATATAGCTGCAAAATATACAGAATAGACTCTAATAGGGTGAGACACTGAAAGTAAAGCCATAAATATAAGAAATATGTACTGTTTTCATATAAAAATAAGGTATTTTTGTGTAATAACTCATGATTTGTTATGACATGACTCTAAATAGATGGAGCCTGGTTCAAATTTGTTGCTTCATTTTGTCACATACTTAAAATAAACAGAGGAGATTATCTTCTTAACTAAACTAAACTTTAGTTTAAACTTAAAGAGCCACTAAACACCAAAACCACTTTTTTTTACTGATTAACTGTGTAAATGGGTCTAAAGTAGGAGTGTATATTTATCCCTGGCCTTATTTTGAAATTTTAGTATATATTTGTTAAAAATCTTTTGGGCCTCTTTAAGATCAAATTTGGCCACTACATAAATAAATCAAATTTGGAATTAAATAAAACATGTTATTGTACAATTTGTTAAAATCTTAAGTATATTGTTGTCAAATTTGTGATCCTTATGAGAGGAAAATTTTTCTTTCGCTTATCCGGGGCTGGGTCACGGGGGCAGCAGTCTAAGCAGGAACTCCCAGACTTCCTCCACCTGAGACACTTCATCCAACTCCTCTGGGGGGACCCTGAGGTGTTCCCAGGCCAGCTGAGAGACATAGTCCCTCCAGCATGTCCTGGGTGTTCCTGGGGCCTCCTCCCGATGGGACATGCCCGGAGCACCTCCAGAAGGGCCCAGGAAGCATCCGGAACAGATGCCTGAGCCTCCTCAACTGCCTCCTCTCGACGTGGAGGAGCAGTGGCTCTAATCTGAGCTCCTCTCGTGTGACTGAGCTCCTCACTCTATCTCTCAGGGAGCGTCCAGCCACCCTGCGGAGGAAACTCATTTCAAGCGCTTGTATCCGTCATCTCGTCCTTTCGGTCATTATCCAGAGCTCATGACCATAGGTGAGGGCAGGAACGAAGACCGACAAGTAAATTGTAAAATCTCCAGGTGGGTGGAGAGTCCCTGCCTCAAGTGGAGGAGTTCAAGTATCTCGGGGTCTTGTTCACGAGTGAGGGGAGGACAGAGCGTGAGATTGACAGAAAAATAAAGAAAACTTTGAATTTACGATGATCTAACTCGATGGATATGAGTTGACTGAATAAATATTAAAACATCTTTCAGTGCAGAGTGGACAATTTTTTTATGTGGAAGTTTCCACATAAAAGCGTTTGTATGTGTGTGTATTAAGCGACTAAACTGACTGAAAGTGTGGGAACGGGGTTGATTCAGGGTGAACAACCGTCTGCTGTTCTCACCAACAGAACATGGACATCCAGGCAACATAAAAAGATGTAGAAAAATCACTTTAAAGAGCCAAGATTGTTCTTTTCTGATCTATGTTATAAAGTTGTTTCCTCATCACAAAAATACCTGGAGTTGTGTTTTGTTTCATTCACATGTTTAACACACAAATCCTGAATATTTATAGTTCTTCTCAAACAAGAAACACTCACTGATGTCATGTGTGTAAGAGAATTTAAGTCATTTATCTTCCATGTACATCTCAGTTTAACATGGACCCACAAAAGCTATAATTACACCATGATCTTCCCTTGGCTTTGTCTTCTGGGCTTCATAGTCTCACCACACTTGCTTTATAAACCTCCTCCTCCGGAAGCAGAGTCAAAGGGGCTTGAACACTCAAAGATCAGACTATGTTCACTTTTCAAGTCAGGTTCATATTATTGATGGTAAATAAACAATAAACTTCTGCTTAAGACGTCCACTTGGTCTCCAGCCTTTTACTTCCACACTTTCTTGGACAAGCTGAAAACTTCTACAACAATGTGGTAATAAAGGAAGTGACCCCTCGTGTTTTAAACCCCACACACCTTCACTAGAATCATTTAGAGGATTTCAGCTCTGGGATTTCCATTTTCCACTGAACAAAACGTAAAAGTAGCTGTTAACTTGAAAACTATTGCTTCAAGATGTCACAAGGTGGAACAAAGCATTTTGAGCTCTGGAGGAATGCAGGATTACTCAAACATGTGAATGAAGCAAAACTCAACTACAGGTCTGTTTTTGAGAAGATATTCACATTCTAACATGTCTAAAAGCTCAAAAGAGTCAATTTTGCATAATATAAGACCTTTAACCAGTGTTGGGGAGTAACAGATTACATGTACCGGAGTTACGTAATCAAAAACAAGACTAAAACAGGTCTTAAACAGGTCTAAAACAGGACTATAACAGGTCTTAAACAGGATTAAAACAGGTCTAAAACAGAACTAAAACTGAACTAAAACAGGTAGGTCTAAAACAGGACTAAAAGTAGGTCTAAACAAGATCTAAACCAGGTCTAAACTAGATCTAAACCAGGTCTAAACTAGATCTAAACCAGGTCTAAACCAGGTCTAAAACCACAATTAAACCAGGACTAAAACAGGACTAAACCAGGACTAAAACAGGACTAAAAGCAGGTCTAAACTAGATCTAAACCAGGTCTAAACTAGATCTAAACCAGGTCTAAACCAGGTCTAAACCAGGTTTAAACCATGTCTAAAACCATGACTAAACCAGGACTAAAACAGGACTAAAACCAGGTCTAAACCAGGTCTAAACCAGGTCTAAAACCACAATTAAACCAGGACTAAAACAGGACTAAAAGCAGGCCTAAACTAGATCTAAACCAGGTCTAAACTAGATCTAAACCAGGTCTAAACCAGGTCTAAACCATGTCTAAAACCACGACTAAACCAGGACTAAAACAGGACTAAAAGCAGGTCTAAACCAGATCTAAACTTGATCTAAACCAAGTCTAAACCAGGTCTAAACCAGGTCTAAACCAGGGCTAAAACAGGACTAAATCATGCTGGGTGGATGTGTCTCCTCCTTCTCTTCTATCAATAATATTTTTAATACGGTTCAGTAAAATCTAGGCTTTTTATTTTCTTTTAGCAGCCAAAACTTCTTATGTTACAATATCCTCGTCTTTGTTTCTCTACAGCAAATCAAGTAATCCAAAGTATTCAGATTACGTTACTCATTTTAAGTAATTTAATGGATTATGTTACAAACTACATTTTGGTGTGTGTAATCTGTAATCTGTAGGGGAATACATTTTAAAAGTCACCTTATCAACACTGCCTTTAACTCAGTGTTTTCCTTCAGCTTTGCAGTGAACACAGTGTAAAGTAAAAGTACAGGTGCTCGACAGTGTTTACTGCTCTACAGGGACGGGCTGACACAAAAACATTACTAACCCAGACCACAGGGGGCAGTATATCTGTGTGCACCGTGAGCTCATCTACAACATCCTCCAACATGTGCACTTTATAGTTGAACTTGGCCAGTAAAATGACATTTAGGGCCACTGTGGAGAGTCATGTGTCTCTGTTACTATGTTGACATGCACCGGTTTGCTCTTTATCCAATTTTCTTTTCTTTTCTCCAAGAACCAGTAAAATCACTCTTGTCCCAGTGATGCCAAAAGCAAAGACGGTATAAAGCCTTTGTAAGATCACCGGCCTTCACACCTCCCTCTCCCCTCCACTGTAGAAACTCTTATCCACGCTTTCATCACCTCCAGCTTCCGATCGTATTACCCCCGTCCGACTCTAACCTTCTCACTCCCACAGTCAAACCAAAGCGCTGGACTTTGAGGGAACCGAGCTTTTGCCACAGACGTCCCCACTCTCTCCTCCTTCACGTCAGCAACTCAGACTCACTAAACACCTTCAAAAAACTCCTCAAATCTCCTTATTTCTCATTACTGTTTTGTCTGTCCTTGTTTTAGTGTTACTTTATTGTGAAAAATGAAGCTCACCGAGGGTCAGTAGTGAAATAAAAACCCCAGGATCATATAGAGTGGGTTAATATGAACATTTTAAGATCAAAATGGCAAGGCTCACAGCAGCAGTTACAGAGAAAGACAGAGTTAAAAAAGTTACAGAGACAACTTCTTAAAGTGAAGTTAGCTAGAACCAGAGTCAGTGGAGCCGGAAACGCACCCATGAACACTTCCTATTTGGAGGTTAATTTAAGTATACAGTCTATGGGTCACACTGAAAAATAAGACATTAAAAGACTTCAGGACCGTCTAATAATTTAGTATTTGCTCTGATTATTTGTAGCTACAACTGCTTGTATGTAAATGGGTTCTCGATTTCTTTCTACCCTCACCTTTGGTCATGAGCTCTGGGTAATGACCGAAAAGACAAGATACAAGCGGTCGAAATGAGTTTCCTCTGCAGGTTGCCTGGGCACTCCCTTAGAGATTGGGTGAGGAACTCAGTCACACGAGAGGAGCTCAGAATAGAGCTGCTGCTCCTCCACATTGAGAGGAGCAGCTGAGGTGATGCCTCCTGGGCGTCTCCTTCAGGAGGAGGCTCCAGGGAAGACCCAGGACACGCTGGAGGGACTATGTCTCTCTGTGGCCTGGGAACACTTTGGGCTCCCCCGGAGGAGCTGGAGGAAGTGTTTGGGGTCCGTGCTTAGACTGTTGCCCCCGCGACCCGGCCCCAGATAAGAGAAAGAATATGGATGGATGGAAAAGTGGTCACAGTTATACAGCACTATTCCACCTTCAAGGAACCACTCACCTATTCACACACACACACACACACACACACACACACACACACACACACACACACACACACGCACACACACACACACACACACACACAGCAGTGTACACAGACACTGGGGGTAAGGTGAGTGAAGTGTCTTGCCCAAGGACACTACAACAGCATTCATCTGTGTGAGTCGGAATCAATTATTAAAAAACAAATCATCTTAAACTGAGACATATAAACTTTCAGCTTCTGTAGTTTAGATAAAACAGACTAGAAGATTTTTATTATCTGAAAAATGATTAGAGTCAGTTTTACTTTTTCTTATAAAAGCTTATTTTTTCATTATGGATGTTTTTATTGCCTT